ATCTGAATCCTTAAAGGAAAAAAAGGAGGGTTTTTTCACATTTCTTGGCAAAAGACTGAAGAAATGTCTAACCAGGCTGAAGATACCGTGGAATAAAAAGGGTAAAGAGCATCAAAACTTTGAGAAAGGAGTACTTATACATAACATAATAGAGCTAATGCTGCAAATGTGCACAAACGTTATGAAGAGGAAAATATAGAAGTAAAACCAGATATTTTCTGCAACTGTATAAAAAAATGAACCTTTATCTTCTTACTGTTGTTAATTAAACTCGCTTCCTTGGGCTCAATTAAACGCCAGAATAACTTGAGAGTTTTTTAAAGATTTTTTTATTACTGTCTTTTCAAATTAAGAAGTTCACTCTGAGACTACTATTTAATTGCTCAAACAATTCCAAGTTGATGCACAATTCTCAAATATTCATGCACAGCGTTTGAGATATATAAAGACAAAGGCGTTATAAATCTATCACAAGCATGGTTTCTTTTAGAGTACACAGTGCTGGGATATCTATGTTCAAACCATGGATGCACAATATGTTGGCATTAACTAACAGCCAATATTGGGCAGTTTGAAGCACATCTGCATTGGGCCAGTCAAACACTAACCGATATTCATTTCTATACTGTGGTTTGAATTGTGTCCAAAGGTAGAAAAATGTTCATTATATTATGCTGGTAAATATCGGTTATTGGCCATAACGGCAATATTTCTATTGGATATTAATATCTACACAAACGCTTCTAGTAGAAGACCAGCTCTGTTTCCAAGAGATTAATATGTTGAGGTGTGCATAAAACTTGTAACGATTAAAGAGGAAAAATTTAAGAGAGCATCACAGGGATAGTAAAGGGACAGTCAAAGAGGAAGAAGGCATTGCCTCAAAGGAAACCATAAAAATGCAAGAATGCAGTCTGAAGATACACTCAGGGAACAAGACATTGTTTGGGGATAAAGTATGTCCAGTGAGCTGATAAAACCAGGACTAAAAGTTTGAACTAAGGCTAAGTTCACACAGCAGCCTGAGGGGACACAAATTCGATTTTTGTACCGATATGCGACCTGTGTCTGACCTTTTCATGGCAGTCTGAACAACACAGATCTGATTTTGTTTTCCAATGCGACAGCCAGGTCGCATTCATCCGACCTGAACGCCATTAATACTCAACAAATCACTGTTCTGCGTCTTTCTGCACAAAAGTGGGGAAAAAACAATAACCCTGGTGGACGATAATGCGAAGAGCAGTCTTTCTTTTTTTTTTACTATCTTAAAAAGATTTAGTTTTTAAGGTTGGGAACGATCACTAGATGTGCTCCAGCATTACCATTCATGATTACTTCCGTAAACACAGAATATGCTTGCTTATGACGTCATTGCCTCCTCTATTGTGCAAGCATTGTATAAATGCAGTTCACCCAGGAGATCACATCGCATATATTTGCAAATGTCTAAAGCACCACAAGAAAAAAAAACATCGGATTTCACAAAAAAAATCGGAATTGAGCAGTGCGAGCATAGCCATAATGATCATTGTTATGTTTGGAGGTAAACGGGGGAAACTTGAACAGCATGCTATCTTTAAGTACGGTGGTGGAAGCATCATGTCCGGGAGGTTGTGGTTGCTTGATAAATGGCATCTTCAGGAAAGAATAAAATGTGGACAAAATGAATTAACATCTGAAACATTCTGTCTCAGTTACACCAGTTTTGTGTGGATGAATAGGTCACATTTCCAGTAAACATTTGACCCAAAATCATGGAGTTTATAATGTGCTTCAACCAAACACTAAAACATTGTAAACTTCAAAATTCTAGTTGGTAATAAAACTGATATATTCCGGCATAAACCCCATAGAAATACAGGTAATCCCAACTGATGCAAAACATGGTACTTTTAGTTCATTTGAATTCTGACAAAGGGGAAAAAAACTGCCTGTTTTATGCTGAGTTTTTAAAAAACTAGTTTCAAATGCATGTGGAGCACTTTCTAATAGTTAAATAATATTACTTCATGTTTCAACTTCTCTTTATGTTGCAATAAAATGTAACATCACAATAATAAAGAAACAAAGATATAAAACTATAGCCCATCAAGTTCGGTCTATAAGGATAAAAAGAGCCAACAGGATAAATATGCCAACTAGGACTGTAAAACAAGAGGGGTCACTCCCATTATTTCCATGATTATGTAATAAAAACAATTGTGATGTAAAACAATAATGTTCAATGTCAATTCTTATTGTTTGAACCAGTTCAAAGACATTCCCACTAACAAGCTTGGAACGCCATGTTCTAAAGAGAATAATGAGATTTATATAGGTGTGTGCATGCATGTCTTAAAGAAACGTTCCCTTTATGAATCAAGGTCTGCATGGAAATGAGCACCTGTGGCTCAGGCTGACACTTTGCCTTCTACTTCCCCACATTCAACACTAATGTACATTTTGTGCATGCTGGAGGATTAAAGAACCTGCTGATTTTTAGCTCTCTCTGTCGAATCAAGCACAGCAAATGAAAGCAAAGCCAAGAGAAAAAAATTTATCTAACACAGAAACTGCAGTTTATTTGGTTCCTACATTTAAAATAAGTGCCACGGCAGCCATCCTGCAACATTAAGCCCAGGTGTTAACAGTGCTGATGTTCATAAAAATCAGATTTACAGTTTTATGCTTGCTAAAATAAATGAGAAAATCTTCTTCCACACAGCTGAGCATATCCTCCCAGCAGCAGATCCTAACCTGTTGCAGGCGACCCTTTTTAGTCATTTTTCTTGTCTTCACAAGCGTAAAAAATGAGGCTCCAGGTCACACCAGAATCAATAAGCCTTTTTTCACACATAAAGCCGATCTATTTGTACCATGAGGTATCCAAAGTGGAAACAGTATTTAACAAACTACTGTCATGCAGTTCTAATACAAACTGGTTGGGAAAGTGGATTATTTTATATATTAATGCGTTGGCATGTGATTTTTAAACATGCAAAATCTAATTTATACATACAGTCACATGAAACTTTTAATTAGTGGCAGTAAAAATGTTATAGACTACTAAGCTATATCAACGGGAGTTATATTCACAGTGTCATAAACTAATTAATGGCTAGAGAAATTTTTTTGTTTCCTGTCACTACAGTATTTACCCATTTAATGCCATTACATGATCTCTTAAATACCTGAAAACCTAAGAATAGTTAAGCAAACATTGGGGACGGTGGTGGAATCAGTTAAGGTGTTTGTCAAACATGGTGAAGTAGGAAATCCACCAATAGAAAATAAGTCAACCAAAATGGCTGACACTTGTGGTGAAATATTAAGCCCAAAATGGAGGCAGAAGGTTGTTGATGAAAACAAAAGGCATGTTCTAAAAATGCAACTTGTATTCATTGCTCTATATCTGAGCATTTATGTATATTTTTGACTATTGTATGCTGTATAACCAAGAACAGTTCTAAGGGAACATTAAAGATATAATTATGACTTTCATTTCCATAACTCCAGGTAAACTACCTTGGATCTGTTGTTACATATAAACTGAACAGGCAACCAAAGTAAGGACTGAACTGAGAGTGAAAGAGGTTTAACTGGGGAAAAAATTAAGTTTTCCTACATGGATCCCTTCTATGTTGTCAGAAACTCCATAAAAATCTGAGCCTGTCTGTAGCAAATATGAGCCATTTTACTCTGTCACACATGAGCGACTTTTGCTATGACACTGCAGCTGTTTAGCAAATGCTTACCGTGGGGCTCACACTCGTTTTAGGAAACCAGAAATGATTCCATCACATTATCACATGTTGAGCCCAAATCCAAGAGTAGAGTGCCCAAGTTGAAAAATCACCAGAGCTGCCTTCCTAATGCTCTACTCTGCTTACCCTCTGTGATGTAAATGGTTCACACTCTTAATGCTGAACTGACTGCTTAGCTGTCCTTTGGTGTACTAGGACTGGGGAGACATAATCATATTCACAGTCGACTGCCCAGGAGGTTAAAAAAATCTGTAATAAAAAGCCCCAACATCCCTCTTCATCTCCAAATTCTACCTTTACCTTCCCTGTCACAAAAAACATAATTAAATCTCCCTTATAAATCATTATTCATAGGATTTAACAGTTATTAAGATTTTCTCCTGCAGGGTACAATAGACCTTTGATAAATGTGCAATGATCCTGTTTAATGGTGCCGTTCTCTGCACAGATACATAGGTGCTTGAGACAGAACCAGCCTCTGAGCCCTCTGGGGAAACAACGGCATCAAAGCAACTAAGATACTCCATGTGCATGCAGAATCACGCAGGGACAGAGACTGAGCTGCACACACAGGGGCGTGCAAACACAGAGAGGTGTGTGCACAAACACAACGCTCGACTGCAGACAAGCGTACATGCATGCACGCACGCACACAAACACAGCCAGCCACAGTTCAGTGTTTGGGTAACCATGGGGACAGCAAACCCAAAGGTTTGTTTCTGAAACCTAGTTAATTAGAGAGAGGCAGAATAATGCCGATACTCTGGGGAAAGTGTTTCGCCATCTGTTAATCCCCACAAGCACCCTCCACTCGGTCGCGCACAGACAAGGAAGCTGGCCACAGTCGCCGGTGCACGACAAACATCTTCTCCCACGGCGCTCCAGTACGTGGAGGCCAACAGTTTCTCTTTCTTACTGGTATTAGATGACTAATTGGAATAGCTAATACTGAGCCGCTAAATAAAGCAGGCTTGCATCTGCTGCTGACACACACCAATTATCGAGTGGGGATGGAGATCAGGGCGATAAGTTATACAACTACATCTAGAGAGAAAAAAGGGCAAGATGGAAGGAGGCATGGTAAGTTGACACGGAGGAGAAGGAGGAGGAGGAGGAGGAGAGCGCGAGGTGTCAGGGGACGGAGGAAGGGCTCGGAGAGGGAGGGGTGATGGAGGTTGAGTGAGTGAGTGAGAGTTAGAGGCAGAGACGAAGTGAAAGAGGCTCGATGTTGGAGAAGAGAGAGAAGCGGGACTAAATTTGTCGGAAACATAGAGAAAACAACAGAATGGAGAGAGCTTTGTCTTTTTAAGGAGGTAAGTGATAAAGCTGAACGGGGAGAAAGATAACTGGAGGAAGGGAGCGGACTGATGGATCAGTGGGGAGCAGGAGCTGGATGCTGAGAACCCAGGCAGATAGAGGTGAAGAAGTTGGATGTGAGGGGAAACCCAGTTAAGATATGAGCTCTCGGCTGCTTTTTGGCACAACCCAAAAACCGGTGTTTATTCACCTGCGTGTGTGTGTGTGTGTGTGTGTGTGTGTTTGCCTCTCTCAGTGGATTGTTAGAAGGCAGGAGTAATGATGACGATGACTGAAACGGGCTACAATCTACTTTACATTCAGCTGTGTTGAAGCAGTCTTCCGTCTTTGCTTTCTCTGTTGCTCCATCTTATTTTTCTTCCCTTCTCCCACCCCCCCCACCCACTCC